CTCCAAAAAAGGTGTCATAAAGTGTCAGAAACAATTGAAACAACTGAACAACAAATTAATAATCAATTTTACTAATTTTATTTTTATTAATAAAGGATTACTAGTGGCTTAATAAATGTTTATTGACTCACTGAACCTCTGTAGCAGCTGATGAAGCCTGTGGACTCCTCAGAATGCTGTTTTTAAATGCGTAAAATCAAATACTTTGGATTAAAAAGGTAACCAATTATATTAAAATTGCTATCAAAATACTAAAAAAAAATTCCAGATCTTTTCATATCCTGCAGAATTCAAAATTTCTGGACTATGTGATTTCTTCCAGATCCCATGTATCATCTCTATTCAAATGTATTTGTGTCTAATGTTCTTTTCCTGACTTCCAGTCTCACAGCTCTATTAGACATTTCAAGTTAGTCCTAAAGAACAGGCAACAGTCATGGATTGGAAGGAGGGTTGGAATTGGAGCAGGAGACTGGGGATCAACCCCCCCCCCCATCTCTTACTCATTTGATTCCCATGTAAATTTGGGCAAGTCACAACCTCTCTGTGCCTAAGTTTCCTTAATTATAAAATAAGAGGGGGATGGACTAGTCATGTCAAAATCAAATATTGACTTAGAAAACCATAAATTAACATAATCTATGTTTCATTGTATTTTTTTATACACATATGGGAGAGCCAGGTGGTACAGCTGGGCCTCAAGTCAAGAACACCTGAGTTCAAATTCAGCTTCGGACCCAACAGCTATGTGACCCTAGACAAGTCACTTAATCTCTGCCTCTTTCAAGATAGCTCAGAACTCACCCTTTATAGCCCTTCCTTAGCCTTACATGAGCCTTGCCCTCTAAGGTTATTTTCCTTCTACTGGGTATCCATCTCACATGCCCTATTTATTTACATATTGTTTTCCTCATTTATACGGAAGCTATTAGAATTCCACGGTGGGGATACAGCAAGAGCAGAAGAACCAAGATCTGAGATGGAGTACTGTGTAAGAAGCTCAGTGGTAAAATGGATTAAGTGCTGGATGTGGAGGAAGAAAGACCTGAGTTCAAATCTAGCCTCAGACACTTCTTAGCTGTGTGACTCCGGGCAAGTCATTTAACCTCTGCCTCAGTTCCCTTTATGTAAAATGGGAATATTAATAGCCCTTACCTCCAAGGGTTTTTGTTAGGATAAAATGAAATAATACTTGCAAAGTGCTTTGCCAACCTTAAGGCAGTATATAAATGCCAGCTATTATCTTTATTAGGAACAGCAAGTAAGCCAGTATTAGTGCACGGTAGATTGAGTGGAGTAGACTAGAAAGACAGGACAGAACCAGGTTGTGCCAGAGGACTTTTATGTTTGATGGTGGAGATAGTAGGCAGCCACCAGTTTCTTGAGAAGGCAAATGACTTAAAACCTACAATTTGGCAAAATCACTTTGGTACCTATGTGGGATATGGATTCTACAGGGAAGATACTTGAAGCAAAGAAACCAATTAGGGGACTATTGCCAGGCTAAGAGGGGATAAGAACCTGGACTGCGGTGATGGCTGTGTGATATTAAAGGATTTGCTAGTATACAGGATCATAGGATCAAAGAGTTGGAGCTGTGGATGGAGCACCAGCCCTGAAGTCAGGAGGACCTGAGTTCAAATCCAGCCTCCGACCCCAACCACTTGACATTTACTAGCTGTGTGACCCTGGGCAAGTCACTTGACCCCAATTGCCAAAAAATAAAACAAACAAAAAAGGACTTGGAGTTGTAAGGGTCTTTAGAGGCCATTGAGTCCAACATCTCCCTCCTCATTTTTACAGATGAGGAAACTGAGGCACAGAGTGTATAAGTGACTTGATCGGGATCACATAGTGTTATGAGGTTGGATTTGAACTCAGGTCTTCCTGACTCCAAGACCAGTGCTCTATCCATGGCTGCCCATCATTAGTCCTTTATAAATAATAGACTGCCCTCTGCTACTTTTTGTGAATCTCTTCTTTGATGATGCAAAGGTTTATTTGTCTGCAGTGAAGCACCTTATGCTGCTGTTCTTTTCACTTGAATTCAGCTAGGATCAGAATTTCAGCCCAAAGGAGCCTCTCCCCTGCAAGGTCTCCATGTAAGGTTGACACTGGTACCCACAATGAAGGGAGGCTCCGGGCTGGACTGGACAGGCCCCTTTATGATGCTCTCTTCATTTCTGTGTGTTCACACTGCCTCACATCCCACCCTCAGTTTCTCCTTTGTGCCCAATTCTTATGGTTTCTTTTAAGACTCTTGCTCTTTCAAAACTCAAACCCAGGGTCACCTCCATGAAGTCTTCTTCCCTCATCTCCACTCTTGTTAGTACAATCTCCTTCCTCCTTGTACTGTACTTATTTGTGTACTTGCATTCACTGACACTCCCTTTTTCCCCAATAGTACTTTACGAATGATAGGTGCTTAAAGAATGTTTATTATAGAAGCTGCCAGCTTCTCTTCCCTCTTTGTTAACCCCAAAGATCAGGCTGGTTGGAGGGTCCTTAGGACTTTGCCAGGACTAATGTGTGTCTGAAGTGAAGGAACCTCCAACTTGTAGCTACTCTATAAGGCCTGGTCCTGGATTGATCCAGACCTACCCCAGAAATGTATAGCCTGTTAGCCTTGGCGTCAGGAAGACCTATGATTCAAATCTTGCCTCTTATACTTACTTACTAGCTATGTGACCATGAACAAGTCAATTAACCTCACTGTACCTCCATTTCTTTCTTTTTTTTTTTTTGTAAAAAGAGGGGGTTGAACTACATGACTTTTAAAGTCTCTTTCAGTTCTAAATCTATGATCCTATGATCTTTCATGTGAAATTGGACCTATAAGAACTAAGAACAGGTCTCAGTCTGTGATAGATCTGTACCCCCAAGTTTCTTGTCCCCAGACACTTAAACTCACAATGAGGCCCAGTGCCCAACCCAGCCTACTGGAGTGTTTTGTGAACCATCAGGATTGTCCCTGACAGGTCCTGAACCATGTCAACCCCCTAACTAACTTAAGTAGAAAGTGGGGCTCCCAGATCATAGTAAATAAGTATGTAAGTAAGTATGCCATGGGCATACTTACAAGGTTGGGTTATCCTGTTTACAGAACCAACCAGCCTGACCCTTGGAATCAGCAAAGAGGGAAGAGAAACTGGCAACCTCTACAATAAGTAATCCATGTATCTCAGGGCTCTGCACCTTCTCCTGTGGGGTATCTCCTCCAAATGCCCTTTGGCACACACAGGAAAAGAAGCCTACTGCTGCTAGTGGAGAGAAGCTGGGAGCCCCCTACCAAAGCAAGAGCTCAGCTGAAAACGATATTGGTTAATTTTAAAGCTGCTTTCACCTCCCCTGCTCTTCCATCTTTTCATGTTATTTTCATCTGATTTCTGTTAGACAAGATAATGGAGTCTTCTTTTCACTGTGATAAACAGTTGTCTTTAGTGAGTTCTTTCATTGACACAGAGTAGGTTGTGGACAAAAGCAAATCCAGTATGTTTTTATGCCAAATTAACAAACTGGAATTGAGGGAGACAGGGAACAGTCCTCCTCCCCTATTTCTAGTACTTCTCCAGCCCCCCTTCCCATCACCCCAGCCTTAGCCTCCCATGGCTTATGGATCCATGGTACTAACTGTAAACTCCCTGTTCATAGCAAGGGTTAATTCTCTGGACTAATACATTAATTGCAGTTTCTTATACATTTGGCCTGGATGAGGAAAATATTAAGTTTCGCCTTTTAAATTCAGGATGTGTTTGTGAATTGGGAGGCAGTAAGATGATGGAGAGGAAAGGACAGAAAGGAAAGAGGAAAATGGGGCTTAGCTTTATTTTCTGGCCAATCCAGTGGATCCTGGAGCCTACACTCTAACAGTAATGACGGCTTCCAACACTGGTACAACTTTCTCTCTTCCCTGTTCTCTTACTAGCTGTGACATCCTGGAGTGTGCTTCCATCTGGCAACAAGGAATCAGTTCCCAGGAAGCGAGACACGTTCTTGAAGTGACACAGTGCCCTCTCCTGGTATTTTGTTGGCACTACGGCAGAATATGCCGCCGGGAGACATTGCCAGGGATTATGGACAATGACAGGCAGTTTTTGTTGGGTTAACACGATTCTCAGGGAAGCAACCAGTAGGTTTCAGAGCATACTCATCCTAAGGAAGAAAAGGCAACTTATATTTATTGAGGACCTATGACATGCAAGGACTAACATGGATTGCAGCCTCTAGTCTGAGGCATGGAGTTTCTTCCCTCCCCTCCCACTCTCCTTCTCTCCCTCCCAGCTCTGGATTCCATTCTGCTATGTTCATTTTGGAATTACATTGCTCTGTCACAGAGGGTTTGGTATATTTCAGCCCCAGCTCACCTAAATGGGGATGAAACAGGTCTTCAGCGGCCAAAAGGCCAAGAGTTGTTAGGGGATTCGGGTAACAGGCTGGATCTGGTGAACTGACAGAACAGCTATTTGACAGCAGATTCCATAGCTGGGGCCAGAGCACTAAGCTGTAAGCAGCATTTGAAATCGATGAAAGCTTGACTACAGAATAATTTGGAAGACGGGATATTCACATTGACACCTGCCTCCTGGCCCTTTAGGACTTTCAGATGTTATCACTATAATACTAGTTTTGTTAAGGGTCATTTTCTAGTGTAGGCACAACTTAACTATCAGAGCTGGAGGCAGGTTTGGAGATCAGCTAGTGCAATTCACCAATTTTTACTGAAGAAGGAAGCAAGCAGACAAGTGACCCATCCAAGATCACTCAGGTCTTTAGACTCCTAGGCTAATACTCTTCCACTCCTGTGATATTGGCCACCTTTATCACTTTAGTACAGATGGAGTTTGGTTCTGAAAAGGTCACTATTACCCCCACTGTAGTTGGAGCCAATGTGCTCCCCCTTGTCATGTCAGAATGTTTCATAACCAAGGTAAAGTCATTCCCCGTGGCTCACAAAGACTCCTGGCCCAAAGGTGCATGCTGCTTGAAGGAAACCACAAGAATTTAAGGAAAAACAAATTTTTATTAAAATTGTACCCATAGCACCTCTCTGTCTTCATATAGATTAGTTTTGTGGAGTGTGTGGTGTGTGTGTGTGTGTGTGTGTGTGTTTAATGAGATCTGGTTTTCTGCACAACCACAGGGAACACTGCAGGGAAACCTTTATAAATTTGTCTCTTAATTTCCAGATTGATTTCAAACTATTCATGAATGGGGTGAGGATGGGAGATACATGGTAGGCCTAGGAATGAAAAGTAACTGAACTGCTTATCATTGGGGCTGACTAGCAATGCTTTACATTGTTCCCACCTTTTGACCCAGTTCACACTACAGAGATGAGGTGATAGTTAATGAAGAATCACATTTAAATATGTGGATTGTGAGTTGGGAGAATAACTACATTGTGTGCTAAGAATTTTTAAGAAATGAAAATCATGCTACAAATCATTGATGCAAAAACCATGCTATGGTCCAATCAGAGTCAAATACAAGCACTGCATTAAAAAAGTTTACAAAGTGAGCACACATGTCTGGTGGCATCTATGTGAATGCTTCCATGACAGCAGGCTGTGTGCTTTCACAGGCCTCTCTTATCCATTAGTTATTAGGACTAGACTCCTGGATCATCCACCATCTCATACTCTTTTGACATGATGTTGAATAGATTTCTTTTAAAGACAGGGAGATCAGATAAGCTGAAGGAAGGGGTGGAACTGTTTGGTTTAGTTGGCTTGAAATTAGTGCTAAGAACCAAGGGCACATGTTCAATTTCTAAGGGCACCAAGAAATTTGGTGCTAATAAAAACTCTTCTGTGGTCCTGGATCATACTTCTAACTCTAGTTATCTATCAGGCAAACCTGCATCAAATAAGGGGAATCAGGTGGGAAAGTACAGATGGTGGAGTACATAGGTATCTCCATTCGTAGAAAAACAGTTAAGAGTGCATGTTTTCTTGATGGTGAGTAGCATAATCTTCATGTACAAAGGACACCTCCTACTGGATGTTAAAAATCTTAAAATAAGCTCATTCGAGGTCTTTATTGGGGAGAGTTCATTTCTACTGACAAACATGATATTTTCTAGCATTACAGAAGAATGTGAGAAGGAAACATTTCCTCAATCTTTACCTATAAAATTCTTTTCTTCTTCTTTTAGAGTAAAGCATTAAACCCACCATCCATCCCTCTTGAGTGATAATTTTCTGTTCTTCAGGTGAGAGTGGCCACTTCCTAGTGACCACATTGCTCTGAGAAGTTCTATCCTAAGTTGGGGCTGATTCTATCCATTGGGCATAGTTGACCCTTCTGGGTTATAAAACCTGTTTCTAATCCATTGTCCCCGAAAGTGGTTGAGTCATGTGCAGACAGTAATATCCTGACAGTGATCACAGTGCCACGGTGGCTACATTGTACAAACAATTCTATACAAAAAAAAAATTACTAAAAATAGATAAGATACAAGAAACACCATGAACCCAAAAAACACCTGTTATATTTTCACTGAATTTTTTTTAAAAACCCAACCAAATCATCCCCAAACTAACACATTTCAAACTTTTTTTTCTTTGTTCATTAATTAAAGCAATGTCCATATGGCTTAAGAGAGCAGTCAAAGTGCACAAAAGGCAGTGGTTTTGTCCACGTTCTCTATTTCTGTATTCATCTTCAAAAAAATTTCAAGTTGTCTCGTGGTTTTGTCTTGTGGCTGTCTTGTGGCCGCCAGTGGGCCAGAAAGGACCCAGGACCTTGTAGCTCATGACTTCTGAGTAATTTTCTGGACAGTGAACTGTGGGTAGCTATCTCATGTTGAAAAGCCTTTGGACAGACCTTTTAGGATTTTTGGTTTAGAGTTTAGAATTTTTTGTTCCCCAGCTGCCAAAATTTTCACTTAAAAGTGTTTCCTTCACTACAGCCTCTTCCCTCTCTCTGCCCAACTTAGAATAACTAAAGAAGGACCTACCCAATCCAAGAATTCTCTTTCCCCAACAGTGCTTTCTACAGTAACTGGTAGCTGGCCATGAACCTTCGCTTAGAAAACTATTCCCTCCTGCTCCAGGGAGGCAGGGAAAGGGTTACAAGCCATGAATTTTTCCCTGTGGGGTTAGGAGAACTGCTCCCTGGTAGTGCCAGACACTGTCTGGTTAGTCAGTGTGCCTTCAAGGCTGGGCAGTGGTATATAAGTGGTGAATAAGAGTTTTCTATAAGTTCTGGATCTGCCCTCAAGGGATACTGACAACCCACAAGAGCTGTCTTAGTTCTATTTCCTGGTCCTTCTCTCTAGGGGATTTCCAGGAGCCCAGGCAATTCTAACCTTGTTGGTGCCCAGTGGCCAGGGAGGGTCTCACACACACATACACTCACATACACATACACACACAGTAGCAGGAAATGAGGAAATGACAACATTCAGGCTACTGCTAGAATAGAAACCAACAGGCAACGAATTGTTCTGTGGTTTTCAGACACCTGCTGTAAAAATAATCTGATAGGATCCTAGTCTAGCTAGGAGTTTTCCTAGTAGTTCCAGAATGTTTCCCCTGGGGTTATTCCAACTAGAACCACAATAACAAAAACACACAACCCTCCCCCCCCAAAAAAAAACCCCAAACTTAATAACCATTCTTAATAGGTTGAGAGCTGACCTTGGTTCTTTGAGGAACTGACAGCAGCTCCAGAGGTCAAGAAGGCAGAGGACACAAAAGAAATGAAAAGCAAGATCTTACTTAAAAAGAGAGCAACAACAACAACAAAAACCCAAAACCCAACAACAACAAGGACTGGAGCTGGAGTGCACCAAAGGAGCCTTCAACTGTGCAGGAGGTAATTCACAACCTTGCTTTTTTCAAAAGCTGTTTTGCTTTATTTGGAGACACACTAGCTTTTCCATGTACAAAGCTGAACAATTAAGAAAAAGGCACCTGGAAACACCAAAGACTCACTCATTTAGTGTGACATATAAAAAAAATGGTTTTAAAAAAAACCTTCTTGGACTCCTCCTTCTCAAGTGCCAGGCAATTCTGGAAATGTTGTCTTTCTGCCTGGTTTAACAAGGGAAGGCTGCATGCCTTTTGCCTCTGTGGGATGGAAGCAGTTTCGTAAGCTCCCATGACTGGGTGGTTGCCAACTAATCTCAGGTCACATTTCCTGTACCATCATGTGGCCCTTGTTTGCTTGTTTGTTAAATTACCACTGGGATGGCCCATGCAGGGAAGGACCTGACCCACAACAGGGTCAAAATGATACCACCTTGGAATGACTTTCCATTTGTATTATCTCATGCCAGGAACAAAGCCTTCAAACATTTTCTCTGCTAGAAACTTCCAAGTGGAAGTATTTTAGGAATGGATTGGGGCTGGGGCTTGGTGTGAATGTCAGAACCAAGCACAGGGAAAATATTCATTATCAAAACACCAAGAGTGCAGCAAGGCTGTCGTACCATGGAGAATCATGTGAACCAGCTTCTTCTCCTACAGAGGAGGTAGAATGGAGAAAGTAGTAGGCTAGGAGTCCGTCCTAATATTTCACACACAGCTCCATCCTCTTTTCACACTTCATCATTCCTACCTGGCCTTTAAGATGGAGAAATGGAAAGTTGTTAAATCTTTTGAAGTCTCAAAGGTGCCAAGCCACTGCACCGATGAAATATGCCTTCTCTTAAAAAGAAAAGAAAAGAAAAAAGAAAAGGAAAAGGCAGCTGCTTCTTGCAGTGGTGTTACAAAAAGCACTTTTAAAACAACAACAACAACAAAAAACTTCCAACTGAAATCCTACTATTCACAAGTGGCTAAAGTTGTCACTTATCAGAACTGTTTTTAAACAAAACTTCAGCTCTGTTGTCGGAGTTGATTGTCTTCAAAAAAATAGACATATTAATGTTCACATCCATTCTACCCTGATAGAGAAATTTACCCACAGTTCACTGCACCAGCCACCCACCCAGATGTTGTGCTGGGTCACCCCAATGTCGGTGGGAGTTCCCACTGTGCTGTAGCCTTTAGAGCGTCAGACAAATGAAGAGAAACCTGTAACTGGAGTCCGAGAACCCGGGGCCTGTTGTCCCGTCGGGGTGTATACGCCCCCTGCACTCTGTGTGGTGATGACAGTCTGGAAGTAGGGTTCAGTCTCATTGGCCGCACACTCTTCATATCTGTATGCAGCCGGGTGCTTTACCCCCTTTGCCTGGCGCTTCCAAGAGTTATAGTAGGTAGGGTCGCTCATGTAATGGTTAACAAAGGAATGCTTTGGCAGTTCGTCTTCATAATCGGAGTCTGTGGCCTATAGTAGGGGAAGAAAAATAGCTGTGAGCATCTGTGACATACAAGAAAGCAGCTGTTAGCATCTGGCTCGTGTCAGCCACGGAAAGGAGTACTATCCTATGTGCTTAGAGCCTGACAGAAATCAGGTAAGTAGGGCTTAAGGGAAATGGAATATCTTCTACTGCTTCTTGCTTGGGTTTTCATCCAAACATATGGTGTTTCTGGGGGGTGGGGAATTCTTTGTGCGTTTCACTCCTCTGCTCAAAGGCTTCCATTGGCACCCAAGGCCTTCCACAATCTGGATTCAACTTTATTTTTGACTACTTTCTTATGCGTGTTCTCTGCTCCAATCAAAGGGGTTTTCTCATTGTCCCATTAACATGTTATATTCATTTGTGCCTACATACTTTTGCCCACAGTGACATATCCCTCCTCTCTTATTTTCTATACCACCTCATACATTCTTACAACATTTATTGAGCATCTGCTACCTGCCAGGTGTTATACTACTAATTTGACACTTATCTCCTGCTGTCTCATATTGCTATTTATACATGTATGTCCTGTCTCACCAACTAGACTATAATAAACCTTTAAGGGATGAGACTATGCCTTTGCTTTTGTGAGTGCCCAGCATCTACCATAATCCTTATACTTGGTAAACATTTATTGATAATGTTAGCGAAAATGATAACTGTAAGAACAACATTAACAATAAATATCTCACATTTACATAAAGCCTTTATTTTTAAGAAGCACTTTTAAACATAAGCCCCATAGATTGTTATCCTCATATTATAGATGAATAAACCAAAGTACAGACAGGAAAGGCAAAATTGGTGACTGATGGCTACACAGCTAGTAACAGAGTAACAATGTTTGCTAACAATAATTGGATGCTTATGATATGAAGAGCAGGGAGGAAGCACAAATTCAGTTCAACTAAGTGAACATTCAGATTGTGTAATGGATAAAATGCTGGATCTGTATTAAGAAAGACTTGGGTTTAAAATCCACCACTGACTTTTATTGTGTAACCTTATACAAATCATTTAACCTCTCTGCGTCTCAGTTTCCTTATCTGTAAAATGAGAGGGTATGACTATATGGCCTCAGAGGTGCCTTCTATCTCTAATCTGTGATCCCATGAATAAGCACCTACTAGTTGCAAAGCAGTATCGAGGACACCGTGGATGAATAAGACAGGGACTCTGTGTGCGAAGATATCGCACACACACATAACTCTAAAGTACACTTAAGATAAGTGTACAGGAGGGGTCAGACTGTATGCTATTAGAGAGGGGCAGAAGAAGAAATACTTCCTGTTAAAAGACAGATAAGGAGGGAACAGTGGAAGCTAGATGCCTACTGGGGTCAGAGCATGGGCCAGAGGGTGCATCATCGCCCAACTGCATTTGAAAACACTCTGTGAGGCTGACTTCTTTCCGTACAAATCAACATACACCAAAGGCCTACAATCTAAACGGATCTGAAAAAAAATGATCTTTAAGCACAGTACCATCAGCTGGGCAGGACTCAATTTTCACATCCAGCCTACCTCTGTGTCTGCTGTGCTAGTGTCTTTCTGCAGGCAAAATAAATTATTCCTGAGGATTTGAGAAAAGATGGCCAACTTCTGGGAGTCAAGATGGCAGAGTAAGAAGTAAGTAGTTCTCACCCTCACTTATTGACCTCAGAAAGCTCAGAAAATATCACTCCAGGAAAAACCCAGGAACAGCTGAACCAGCAGAAAGATGTAATGCTGCAGTCTTGCAGCCCAGAAAGTTTGGAGGATTAATGGGAAAGGCCCCTCTTGCACTGGGGGAAGGGGAGCAACACAGGATGGGAGGCATCCCAGCAAGCCAGCAGCAAGCCCCACCTCAGCAAACCAGGGGGAGATCCTGAGCCCCAGGGTGGTGGAGCAGGCAAGCGCCAACAACAGGACCCCTAGAGTACCTCAGCACAGGGAGGGGAACCAGTAAACACCAGCTCAGAAAACCACCACATTCACTGGCATTCTGCAGCAGCCAAATCTCCTGGTGCTTCATCACAGCTCCAGGCTGGTAGCACCCAAACATTTGAGTACTTTAAAGAAGCTTGAGTGAACATGCATCCTCTGGGGGCCAGACTCCCCACCCCCACCCCAAGAGATCCAGTGCTGCTGACCCCAGCTCAGCATCAGGTAAGCTGCCAGACCTCTACAGCCTCCAGTTGCTAGCACCAGAGGCCCCAGAACACAAAGCCAGTGACCAGGTCCCAGGCACCCAACATAAGAAGCTTGGGTCAGAGCCCCCTGCACTCCAGCGGGAAAGCTCAATGTTTTTTGGTTTCTTTTTTTAAAGTCAGGAAAAAGTGAAACACCATGAACAGAAAGCAAAAATGGACAAAGACCATAGATTCTTATCATGGGGACAGGGTAGATCAAGGCACAAATTCAGAAGAGGACAACATTGTCCTAACCCATATCCTAAACCTCAAAGGTGAATATGAACTCGTCTCAAGCCCAAAAAGAGTTCAAGAAGGATTTTAAAAGTCAAAGAAGAGAGGTAGAAGAAAAACTGGGAAAGAAAATGAGAAGTATGCAAGAGACAGTCAATAGCTTGGAAAAGGAAGCACAAAAACTGACTGTAGAAAACAAGTCCTTAAAAAATACAATTGGCCAAATGGAAAAAAGTACACTGAAGAAATCAACTCCTTAAAAAGTAGAATTGGTCAAATGGAAAAGGGGGCACAAAAATTCACTGAAGAGAAGAACTCCTTAAAAATGAAATGGGCCAAACAGAAAAGGAGGTACAAAATCTAATAGAAGGAAACAATTCATTAAAAATTAGAATTTGGCAAGTGGAAAACTAAGGACTCTATGAGAGAACAAGAATCAGTCAAACAGAAACAAAAGAATGAAAAAAAATAGAAGAAAACATAAAATACCTCACTGGTAAAACAACTGACCTGGAAAATAGATCCAGGAGAGACAATTTAAAAATTATTGGTCTACCTGAAAACCATGATGAATAAAAGAGTCTGGATAGCATCTTTCAGAAAATTATCAAGAAAAATTGCCCTGAGGTCCTAGAACCAGAAGGTAAAATAGCCATCAAAAGAATCCACTGATCACCTCCTGAAAGAGATCCCAAACTGAAAACACCAAGGAATATTGTGGCCAAATTCCCAAACTCCCAGGTCAAAGAGAAAATACTGCAAGCAGCCAGAAAGAAACAATTTAAATATCATGGAACCACAGTCAGGATCATGCAGGACCTTGCAGCTTCTATATTAAAAGTGTGGAGGGCGTGAAATACAGTATTGCATAAGGCAAAGGAGCTTAGATTGCAACCAAGGGTCAACTAACCAGCAAAACTGAGCATAATCTTTCAGGGGAGGAGATGGACATTTAATGAAATAGGGGACTTCCAAACCTTCCTGATGAAAAGACCAGAGCTCAACAGAAAATCTGATTTTCAAATACAGGACTCAAGATAGGCATAAAAAGATAAACAGGAATTTAAAAAAAAAACAACCTGTTATTAATAAGGGCAAACTGTTTGCATCCCTACAAGGGATGATGACACTTGTAACTTTTAAGAACTGTATTGTTATTATGCCATTTAAAAGGGCATAATAGGGTGTGGGTATAAGTTGACTTTGATGTGATGGTAATAAATCTAATTAAGTGGTGAAAAGAGATTGTTCTGGAAGAAGAGGAAAGGAGGAGGGGCAGACAAGGGTAAATTACATCATATGAAAAAGTACAAAAACCTATTACAGTAGAGGGAAGGAAGGGAGATGAGCATTGTTTGAACCTTACTCTCATCAGATTTGGCTCAAAGAGGGCATAATATAATCAGTTAGGTATAGAAATCTTACTTACTGAAAAGCAAAACCAAACCAAAACAAAACAAAAAAGGGGCAGCTAGGTGGCACAGTGGGTAGAGCTCCTGCCTTGGAGTCAGGAGGACCTGAGTTCAAATCCAACCTCAGACACTTGACACTTACTAGCCATATGACTATGGGCAAGTCACAACCCCAATTGCCTCATCAAAAAGGAAAAACAAAACAAAACAAGACAGAAATCTTACTTACCCTAAAGGAAACAGGAGGGAAAAGGTAAAAGAAAAGTGAGGGGGTGGATATAAGGGAGGGCAGATTGAGGGAGGCAGTGGTCTAAAGCAAAACTTTAGTGAGGAGACAAAGGGAGAAAGGAGAGCGAGAAGCATAAACAGGGAGAGAAATAGGATGGAGAGAAAGACACAGATAGTAATCATAACTGTGAATGTGAATGGGATGAACTCTCCCACAAAATGGAAGCAGATAGCAGAGTGGATTAAGAACCTTCATCTTACAATATATTGTTTAAAAACCTGAAAAGACTTATCCTAACTGATGCAGAGTGAAATGAGCAGAACCAGGAGAAGATTGTACACAGTAAAAGCCACATTGTGTGATGACTGACTTTGATAGACTTAGTTTTTCTCAGCAATGCATAGACCCTAGATAACTCCAAAAGACTCATGATGGAAAATCTATCCACATGCAGAGAAAGAACTTAGGAGTCTGAATGTAGATGGAAGCATTCTATTTGCTCTCCTTTTCTTTTGCTGTTTTGTTTCTACTTTCTTATGGTTTCTCCCATAAGTTTTAATTCTTATTTACATCATGACTAGTATGAAAATATGTTTAATACAAATGTATAAATAGAGCCTATATCAGATTGCATGCCATCTTGGGGAGGGGAAAGGAGAGGGACCTCAACCTTAACCTAAACCTTCCCAAATGACTAAAGAAGATGACAGAAGGATGGAGGCCTATGTGGAAAGGTTGCAAATAAATAAAATCAACTTTCAGTCTATTCACTATAGAGATTACAGAGTTGCCCTCCCTCCTCCCTCAGCTTTTATTTTTGCCTTTTCTGTTTTGCCATTCTTGAAATAGAAATGTTCTCTGTATCTAAATCATTTCTGAACACATCTGTGTTTTCTAGAGTCCTTGAAGACCTGGTGGCTCTAGTTATGTAAACCAAAG